ATGTTCGAGTGGGATGCCCCAGGGTATGTTATCATCCAATGCATTAACCTGATAGCATTGTTGTTCTTTAACAATCATCTCTTCTTCATTAGCAGTCCTAGTTTCCATTACTTGGACCATATGATTCGATCCATCTTGTAGAGATCCAATGTTTTATTACTCGTATCTTGATGTAACCCGTCAAATTGTTCTCGCAGCTGATCTTGTAATCCCTCATGTGATTGCCCCATTGTTTCCATGATTATGGCACAATAATATGAATGAATGATCTCGGTTTTACTGTTACAAAACCTTTCATGAATTATTTACATGTGTGTAGCAATATTTAATAATAAAATGCAAATGCCAAAATACAAAATGGGAATGCAAAATGTGCAATGCAAATGTATGTATGCAAAAAGGTATCATTCAAGAGTGATCATCTTAAAACAACTTTTATTGAACACAAAAGTTTCAATACATCAAACAAACTTTACATATAAGGGATTTCTTTTACTCCTAATTTTTTTATTTCCCTCAAAAGCCAAATTAATTTCCACTGTGCTCAGGTGTTGAGTTGTCAATCTACTTTAACTCTTGCGTAAATCCAGCTAAATCAACCAGTTATGAGCCATTACTTGCCTAGGCATGAACTTCCTTTATGACATTATCTTTTTCCTTCAGCTTATATGTCAATTCCTGGATTTTTAAACAATATGTTCAGTTTTCCTTATAAGGGAATCTTTGTGATCAATAAGCTCTTGTACAGGATCCAAAAATGTCATTAATTTCTTATTTATGTCTTTAGCGTCTTCTAGTTCAGCTTCAATTCCACACTGATGGATGATATGAATCTTCAATGTTAATTATAACCTTATTCAACATTTTATTTTCTGCTTGACATTTCCAACCTAATGTCGGTTGTATCGCACATTTCTTCTGCAACCCTTAGATCATGAAAACACTTTTTGCCCTTATATTCATATTTATTGCAATTCTTTTTCAGTTTAGTGACCCTGTTATCCACTCTTCCAGGGTACTTCCTAAACCATCCTTTTGAAAGGCTTGACTGATCCTTTGGAGATTCTCACGTGTAGTTTTCATTTCTGCACTTAATTTATCATTTTAAATTTTCAAATGACGTATTTGAGCCTCGCACTTCAGCGGACTTTCTTTCTTTTGGATGCCCCCACTGATACTCTTACCTTTGAATACCTTTGGTATCAACCTGACAGGATAATTAGTGACCAAACTAGGTCGATATTTTACCTCGTACTCTAAAATTCCATGATCCAAAAGACATTGAACTCGACTTGAAGGTAATGCAATTCTCAATAGAATGCCCTTGAGTTCTGGCATGATATTCAAAACGAACAATAATATCCTACCAATCGGATAAGGAGGTTTCCAAGGTTTCACATAACATGGAGCCACATCTCTAGCTTCTAGTAGCTTCTAGTAACTCTTTATATGATATAGAGATATTATCAAAATGAGAACCTCCTTTCGTCTTGGATTGATCTTGAGTTTCTAAAGTTGAGAAAAGACTCTTAAATACTGACAAGTTCTGATTACATTGCTTCTTGGAAGCTTTTACAATTGTCACTATTTCCTTGGGTCTCTTGAAAACTAGTTGGTGCGGATGTTACTGTGCAAATTTCTCACATTGGTTAGGATCAGAAGTCCCTTACATATTGAGTTGCAAGATTAGGTTTATTGAGCTCTTTCTCCTTTTGTGCGGGAGTTTTTTCCTTGGTCAAAATAGATATTCTATCCATCATCTAGGACATTTGTTCTCTTATCTCTCGTATTCTCCTTTTGCTCTTCAATGGACATACGATCTTTGGGCACATAGCTCTCTTATCCTCGGAGTTCCCTCGTGATGTCATTCCTAGCTGTTATAGTTTACTTGATCATAAAACCCTTATCCATAATGAAAATCTTTTATTTTGATGACCACTCTCGAATCAACACCTTTGATCATGTCATGATTAGCAATGCAAGCAAAAGAATTAATATATAAACAAGTTAAAGCCAAAATAAAGTGTATATACATATAGATAAAAAAAAATCATATCTATATATAGATGATCCTCATGCTTTAGTTACATGCTTTGTTTGGAAAAAAACCCTAACCACATGATTTCTAGTTTGCATGCATTTATTCAGAAAATAAAATAATAAATAAATAAAAGACTCACATGTTTTTCTTGTGTGCTAACCTCACAAGACTTATGTGGGGTTAGGTTCTGACTAGACTCAAGTTCTAGGATTATTATTTTAGTTTTTGGCTCTAAAGTAAAAATGGTCAACAAAATGTCCTTTGTTGGTGCCCCTTGGGTTGTCAAGCCCTAATCCTGGTCCATTACAGACTTTCAGATTGAGTTTAATTCGAAGTAAACACTTTCTTATTCCATACGAAGGTGAAAAACCCAGATTGAGTTTAATTCGAAGTAACACACTTTCTTATTTCCATACGAAGGTGAAAACCACACGAGGAACATAAGGTGTGAGCTCAAGGAAGGTCCCCTATCCCATACAGAGGTGAAAACCACACGAGGGAATAGTTTCTCATTCAAACTAAATAGGATAAGAGCGGGGTTTTAGCTCATGTCATGAAATGCAGTGCACAGTGTGTGAGGAAAAACATGAAAAAATAATGTACAACACAAAAATATAATCTTTAAATCTAAAAACACATAATTAAATCTGAACATTAACAAACAAGTTAGTACAACTATTTACAAAAAATGGTTATTAAAATAATCAAGGGATAAAAAAAATAAAACAAATTAATTTATTACAAAGATAATTAATTAATAAACTGGTGGCTTGACTCTCTAAAAAATGTCCCAGCAGAGTCACCAAGCTGTCGAGACATTTCTCTGAAAAAGGTCTGCTTACCAAAAAATGAGTTCGGGAGTCGGTTACGTATGGTGAAAGGATTAGCACCCCACAACGCCGAAAAATTGGTACTGGTGTTTATTAATTAATTTGCCTTTACAATAAAATTTATAAATTGTTTTTAATTTTATACAAATAAATAAGGAATATCATTTCACACCAATAACCATTTTAAAATACCTCCTTAATTAATTAAGAAGATATTTTAATGATCTATTGTATAAAATAATATAACTTAAATACAAATATATAAATAATGATTAAAATATAAAAATATCATATTATCAATGGAAAGGTTAAAAATTTTAGGTAAATATAAATATAATCCTATAATTTTTAATTTAAAATTAAAGGGATTAAATTATAAATATTAAATATAGTGGTTAGATTGTAAAATAATAAAATTATAGTCTCTAATTCAAGTATTATAAACTATATATACTAATAATATAATTTAACCATATATTAATGCGGGATTATAATATAAATTATTAATATTAAGGGACTAAAATATATTTAACCTAAATATATGTAAATATACGGTCAGGAATTAAAATAAAATTAAATAAAATGAAAAACCCAAATTAAAATGTACAAAACATCCTATCGGAGGGATGATTGGCCACCGGCTGCCCGTCGAAAACCACCACTGACAACCGCCATCGGCCACCACCCACGGTGGCCAAAATTTCAAAAACTAGCCCAAAATATAGATCGTAACACCCTTAACCCGAATCTACCTTTATTTTTCTCTAAAAACCTTCCAATCGGCCGAGATATGAGATTTTACCTTCAGTTCTCTCTACTTTCAGACGACGTTCAGACTTCGACGATGGTAAACTTCTTCAATCTCTTCTTTCCTCGCTTTCGAATGGCTACTGTTAGTTGTTTCTCTTACTTGCCTCTTTTTTATGGTTTCTGGTTCTCTCTTTGTGTGTTATTACTTGCAGAATCAGGGTTTATATAGCCCTTAGAAACCATCCACAATGATGAATTCTTCGGTGAGTCACCAGACCTACGATGGTGACTCACCATAGACCGATGAGATGTGCGGTCAGTATTCATCTTCTGGATCCTTCTGTTGGAGGTGGCGACGTCGTGGCAGCATTGGATTGGAGTAGTGGAGGCGGTGGTTGAACATAGTCTTAGGTTTATGATACCTTAGGGTTTCTTCTAGAAGAAATCTAGACCGTTGAATCTCTCTAGATCCAACGGCTAAGATCATCGGCGGCTATTGAAGAAGATGATAAAACCCTAAAACATATTTGGGACCTCTCGAGCATGCATGTTGTTTGAGCCTGGATCGGGTCACAATCTACTTCTAGGCCTCCGGGTTTGTATTTGTTTTGGGGCAAATGGGTAAAATTTGGGTCTTTAATTGTAACCGGGCCTCTAATTTTTTTGTAATATTGGGCCTTTGTAATAATAATAATATAATAGTATATTAATATAATAATAAATACATTATATATAATAAATATAAATGACACTCAGATGAAAACAACTGTCGATAGTTATGGTTGCACTAACTGATGTTATGACTGATGTTGGGGCATCATCTGCTGATTATATTATTGCTGAGGTTGATAATGTTGTTGTGTATTCCCAAAGTTTGATTGGAATTCCATATTAGGATTCTCTACGTTTTGACTTCTCCAAGATAAATGGATGATTTTGATAATTGAAATTGTAGGTGTTCCCATAAGTTTAGTGTTGGCATTCCTATTGCAATTCATTACTAAGCACACCGATTGGGATTTTGTGAACATTCCTTATAGTTATAATTCTCTCCACAGTAAACACAAGATTCAATTGATGCAGTCTTTACCTCATACATTCCTCCAAGTTTTTTTATCTTCTTGATCATTTCAGTCAATGATGTCATTTATGTTGATATTGTATTGATAGCATCATTATTTATTGTTGTAGCATTGCGTCTTTCTATCATATTCCTTGTATTGAGATATTGATAGTCATTGTTGGATATCCTTTCAAGGACGCCATAGGCTTTATTATAGCTTTTATCTAGCAATGCTCCATTAACAAAAGCATTAACAACCATTCTTGTTTGCATATTCAATCCATTATATAATATTTTCATTTGTGTCCAATGCTAGAAACCATGCATTGAGCATTTGCACAGAAAATCCTTGAAACGCTCCCAAGCTTCATATAAGTTCTCATCCTCCATTTTCTAATGAATGTGAGATCATTCCTCAGTTTAGATTCATGTTTGGAGGTTGAAACAAATAAATTTTTGTGTTAACTCATTCCACGATGTTATAGCATCGGGTGGCAGCGAATTTAGCCATGGTTTAGTTTTGTCACAAAATGAGTGGGGACACAACTTCAGCTTCAATGCTTCCTCGGGCACCCCGTGTGTATGAAAGAGCCAAATTCTTCAACGAATGCTTTAAGATGTGCTCTAGGGTCTTCGGTAAATGAACCATTATACTAACTCATTGATCGCATCATCTGGAACATCACAAGCTTTAGTTCAAAGTATGCAGCATGGACGACAAGTCGCACAATGTCAGGATTTAGATCTTCCAAAGTAAGAACAATGTGATCTTGAATTGGCCTATTGTGGTCATCGATGTTGTAAAAGTTTGGCTGATTAACTCCGTTTCCAGCCTACAATTCTTCCCCCATCATTATGTAATGATGACAAAGTATTATTACCATCAATATTCATGTTTGCTCGATTACGATTTGCTTGTCTATGGATTTGGTGTATTGCATGTTCAATTTTGGAATCAAAAGACTCTAAGTCTTGATTATCTCAATGGGACATAGACCAACAAATTAAAACGAAAAAAAAAAGTACCCACAAAAGAAAATAACAAAGTTAGTGAAACAAAGAAAACAAATCTAATGCAATACCATTGCTCCTAGAGAATGGCGCCAAAAACCTGATGCTACTTATATGTTATAGTATTAACGCAAGTGCACATTTCGTATATCAAGTATAAAAGTTGATGCTACAAAGTATCGAATGTCGAACCCATAAAAAGCGATGTATTGCAAGTTAGAATTTTTTTTTTATTCTTTGTAAGGATTAGTTTGGAAGAAATAGTGACACTTTATAAGAAAGATATAAAATTAAGATTGTAAATTGTCAGGTAGTGCAACAACAATTCGGAGAGAAAAAAATTTAGTATTGACATATGCAATTGTCATTGGGTTGTTTTCATTATGATAATGTTAAGGCAATTTTATTTATGTTTCTTGCAAAGGTTAACTCCACTGAATCTCTTAAAACTTTCATCAATCCAAGTAAATAATTAACAATGCAAAGACCTTGGCAACACATGCTTCCATATACTAACTTACTTTCGTAATACTAATGTTGTGAAAAGTAGTATGCAAAATCAATAAAATTCATTTTTAAATATTATAAAAATCACACATACAAAGATAAATATATTTCTAAACTTATCTTATAACACTACATCGCATAAAAACAAAGCATAGACAATAATCATAATAAGCAATTTATCGAACATCGTAAGTTCAAAATCCCAATAACATCCAAAAATAAAATATAAGCTAAGTTAATATTCATCATTTATCTTTTCAAACAAGAGACGACCACTAATATAGCCCCATGATCGCTACTGCTATATGACATTGCTCCACCAACTGTTGCTACACGTCCCAAGGGAAGGTCTAGGTAGCTATGGCCTTTGAAGATAAATTTTGTGGAAAAAATTGAAGAAGAAAAGATTGTGAAAGGTGTGACTTCATCCCCTTTATATAGGTCGAATTAGTCAAACCTTCAACCAATAGGAATAGTCCACAAATATCAAGATATTTTGGTCATTTGAAAATTGCCTTGACAGTACTCTTCCCAGAATTTTCTATAACCACATACTGACTCAGTAGTTGCTGCCAATTCTACATAGTAATTAGACACATATCGCTTCACAACATCACATACAACATAGAGTATTGCCACAAACATTAGCGTACCAGATTCAACATAAACACAACAAAAATACATCTATTCCCAAAATAAAATGATGCAAAATATGATAAAATAAACCTCATGGCCAATTTTTGTTCAACCATTGTTACAGACTATGCTTCCTTTTTTCCTCTTGGGACTAGTAATTTGCCCACCTTTAACTGGTGCTCTCCACATAAAGGAATCAAAAAAATTCCTACTGCATTGGCTGCTTCCATTTGTTTGGATTTCTTTAGGAATATGAATTCTTATGGTTAAAAAATAATGAAGGTGAAACAGTAAAGCGGTGGAAATGTCCAAGATAAGAGTGGAGAGTTTAGGCAATCTCACTACACTCACACTTACCATGAAATAACAAATTGTTAAGTAAAGGTTAAAGGAGGTGTCATTATTCTTGGGGTCGGCAAGGTTACTACTATGTTATGGTATTTGTTTTGCTTTAACGTAGTATAAACACTCGGGCGCGTATCAGGTTTTATAATATGACTGAGATTTTACAATATTTTCAATTGTTATGGATGTGTTTGGTCCAAATTTATGGATGTTTGGAATAAAACTTGCTCGAACTTGGAAAAATAATCTCGGACTCGGTCTCTATTTTTTCTGAGACTACATGTTTTGAATGTTTTGTTCTTGATAGAGAATGAAAATAAGGAACATGTTTAGAAATTAGAAGAGGTCTTTTTAATCAAGAGAAGCAATAATAGCTTCATTGAGGTGTAGAAAAAAAAGAATGAATTATCGAGGATTATAAGATTGCTTAAGAAGGAAAGAGAGAAAGATTGTAATAATTGTGGTGATGGTGACAAGAAAAGTGATGATATGTGGGTCGTTAATTACACCGGAGTTTCAAGGTCAAGGTCTCTTTGTAGCTTTAGAGCGGTGGGCTTTTCGAATCATAAGATAGAACTAATTTGATGGATTTTTCTGATGCTAGGAGCTCCGTTTCGGCTCCTCGGAGCTCTGGTTTTAATGGCGGTTCGAGTTTAGATAGTGAAAGTAAAGTTTCCAATAGCAGTGATGGTGGTTTTAATGGTGCAAACAAGCTGTTGTTTTTGCCAAAAGAGAGCAAATTTATCAGTGGAGACTATGATTCATGTTTTATTGATTTACATTTTGATTTTGAAGCATAAACTAAAGGGTATATCCCTGCAGGCTCATGTCTGTTAATAGGACTGTAAACGAACTGAACGTTCAGCGAACCGTTCCTGAACTTTTCGACGGAAAGTTCGTTTATGTTCGTTTATTTATTAAACGAACGAACATGAACAAGATTTTATATTCGTTTAATTAAAAGAACGAAAACAAACATATGGCTCATTTGTTCATTTACGTTCGTGAACATTCGATAATATGTCCGTTTATTTTTGTTCGTTTATGTTCATTAATTTATGTTTAATTCAATCTCTCTAGAACCATTTAAAATATTAAGACGCGATAAATTTTAATCTGATACCCATTAATATTTTAAAATCAATTAATTTTAAATACAAATAAAAAAAAGTCCCAAAAAATTAAATACAAATTAACTATGAAGTTGCAACTTATACTAATGAATTTTATGTGATTATTGTTGTGTTGGTTTATATTCATTTATGTTCGTTTGTTTTGTTTTCATTATTTCGTTCATTTGTTTTGTTTACGTTTGTTTATTGTGTTCGTTTACATCCATTCGTTTATGCTCGTTCATTTGTGTTCGTTTATCATTTAAATGAACGAACACGAACAAGCTACATTCTTTAACGAACAAACACGAACAAGATATTTTTTGTTCGTTTATGTTCGTGTTCGTTCATTTGTTCTGTTAAAATTAAACGAACAAACATAAACATACTCTCGTTCATGTTTGTTCGATTCATTTACAGGTCTATCTGTTAACTATGGATGAAATAGAGGACAAAGGGAGCAGAAGAAGTTTCAAAGGGCGGCAATGGGTTTTTAAAGCATAGAAAAATAAGATTTTACTTATTAATTATGGGGTTAAAATTGAAAAGCCCGGTCTTTGAAATATTTAATTTTTGGAGGAAGAAGAAGAAAAGAAAAGACAGGTTTTTTTATTTTTAAATTCTCAACTCAAATTTCCGTTAATGGCTTAATGGAAGTTAACGGTCAAGTGACTTAAACCGAACAAATCAATAACGTAAGGGACCAAGCGCACTTAACTAAAAACCGGTGACCAAATTTGGTTAACGAAAACAAAAGGTATATTGGGTAGTTTACCCTATTTCAAATTAAAAGATATTATTATCTGTTTAAATTAGGATATTTAAAATATATCTGGTTGGAGTAAAACCCTCTCGAAAATCCCTTATAAATACTTAACAACTTGCTAGATTTTCCTTAAAAAGGCTGCCTATTTTTTATTCTCGATGTCGAACAACCAATCTTAATTTTTTTTTGAAAAAGGATGACCAATCCTAATGATAAAGACACAGGTAGCAACGAATAAACTCTTATCTCAATATTATGATGATCTAATGTCTAGATGTTAAAATCAACAAAAGAGAAGACAAAATCCTTGTTTTGAATTTAATTTATAAAATATGCTTAGAAAACTAATGGAAGAAGATGAAAAGAGGGGTGAAGTGGAATGTTTTAAAACTATCATCGGTCGGAGTAAGTGACAAAAGCACTGGGACAATGCACACTGTTTCGATTCAAATTTAAGGAAATAAATTTGTGAAAGAGAAATGAAAGATAAAATTTTATCGACAATGACATTAAGTGCTTAAGCAACTACGACGACGAAGAAAGAGAAAAGGAAAGAAAACTTTAAATGTAAACTATACGAATAGTTTCTTTTTTCTGGTATGATCACTTTTGGTCATCCGTTTAAAAATCAAGTGTGTTTGGTTCATTACGTAATTTATCTATTTGATTTTAGTCCCTCAACAGTTAACTCGTTAGTATCTTAACAGAATTTTGAGTTGTCAATTAAATAATTAAAAATGCGTGTCAAAAAAACGTATCATCTTTTTCTCTTTAATCCCCAGTTTTCATGCACTTTGAAAGGGGGTTTCATCACCATTTGACTAACTACATCAAACAAAACTAAACTCAGAATTCTGTGTGCTTTTGCTCACTAGTTTCTTTCATAAAAATAATTGAGTTTTCTTTAGCTTCAACTATTGTTTCCAAGAAGAAAACCCAATTTTCAAGCTTTTTTTTTCTAACTTCATGCTCTTCTGCTCTTACATTCTTTCTAATCCTATCTACTTCTCTTACTTTATCTTCTTCTCTCATTTATCTCTTTAAG